TTGAATTTTTCATAAATAATTAATTAAAGACAAATAATATATCTATTCACTATTCTTAGGTCAAATATGGAATCTCTCAGGTTTAGGGTTAAATAAAAGGATATAACGCTTCCAAGAAGTCATTAATTAAATTTTGAAACCGACAAGTTATAACTTGAATATATGACGAGTAAATTTCTTGGAAGTTCTATTAGAATTGGCTGAGAAGAAGCTCAACTATCAATTTAGCATCAAATTTTAGAATGAAGCAGGTATTCATGCTGATGGGTTAAAGAGAGAGTTTTATGACATATGATTGGCAATTTACTCAAGGATGAAAACTTTAAATTCTTCTCCCCTGTTTCTTCAGATCAAAATAAATGCTTTTTGCATCAGAAATTCAATAAACAAAAGAATAAGGAACGATATGCATTACTATTTGAAAAAGTAATTATTTCTAATAAATAAGTTAATTGCTAATTCAATATGCAATTCTTATCTCATAGGAATTGATATTATTGCCCCCTTTGGGAGGTTGTATTTAATGAGAGAATTGTCTTTAATGACCTCAGTCTTATTTGGGATTTGGATACCTACTATAATTAGTCTGTCTGTCTTTTGTTCACATATTTTTCAGACAACACTGAAACAGAATTGATTGCCAAAGGATCCTAAATACATGTTACTTAGAAAAATTAGAGTTGTATCTTAATAAGACTACAGAGTATGTGATCCATAAACAGTTTGACAAAATCTATAAATCGTTTTTGAAGGATTTTAATCTGTTTTAGACCTATCAGTATCATATTGTGAATATCATCTAGATTTGCTAAAATGGGTGATGAATGCAGAGATGTTTCTCTTTACTTAAGGGTTTTTAGAAATCAGTTCCGATATTCTGCTTCAGAAATTCACCTTTAGTGGAGGAAAACCATAACATAAATCATACTTTGAGAACTATGTTAATTAAGCTGATACTGAGACACTAAAGAATATGTTGAAATTCATAACAGGTAATCAATATGATAATAGTCTAGGTTCATCTTCTATTCCATTTGATCGAAGTTCTTATGTGATTAGTGTCAAATTTGATTCAGGACTCTCTGATCGAAAGTTGCCACTTAGTCACACTTGTTTCTAGTCCATAGAAGCGCCTCTTTATAAAAGCTTTGCTGAACTCAAATAGAAATTGAAAATTGCATTTACTATTGGATGTGAAGGATACGGATTTGGTTGAAATCATTTACATCTTAATCATGAATTAAATAAACAAATTATCATCACCTTCAAGAAACAATATCTTAATTCTTTGTATTTTATTTATCTTTTACTAACATAAAGACTCGAATCCACTTGAATTGTACTCCTATTCAATCTCTTAAGAGTTTTTTTAACTAAAAATAATATACACTCCTCCTTTTGCTAATAACTCTAACCTATTCTTTTTAAATTTTAATAAAATAAGCATTATTCTTAATCAAATTTGACTTTAGAATCTTTAAGAATTAGCGATTTAAGCATGTATCTATTTGTGAACTCTTCTTTGCTCTATCAATAACAGTAAGCAAGATCAAATATGCTGAAGTCAGCATGCTAGACCCATATTATAAATATAAAAAAATTATACAAATGAGCACCACCATATTATTGTAGAAAAAAAGATATAATATACATTCTCAAAAAGTGAATGAAAAACAATAATAGGTTATCATGAGAAGAAAAATTTACCAATTTTTAGGTTTAAAAATGAATAAAAAATTATGAATATTATCTTCAAAGATAGATAATTTAATTCTAAATATTAATACCATAATGGGAAGTGGACAAAGCAATCGAAGCTAACTTAACAATCAGAAACGTCAAAGACCCCAAAAAATCAAGAACATACACCAGAATAGCAAACTTTAATTAATCAAGTGTTGCCCTGAGATCTCAAGCAATGAAAAAAAGAATGATTTCTTAAGATGATGATGACTAATGAGGATATGGAGAATGAAGAATAATAGTTTTAAGCAAGAACCTATTTAGAGAGTAGTCTAAAAGAATGTAGAATATGTTTAGGTGATAAATTATTCAAAAACCAATCGTTGTATTCGGGTCATCTTCTC